AGGGTGGGTGGGGAAAATAAGAAGTCAGGGAAGTTCAGAGAAGGGTGAAGCAAGCACAACACCCAAGGGGCAGCTAGTATTTCCAGCCAGCTCCCCCATTTTTAGCACGGCCCCCTCTGGGTCCAAAGGTTTCCATCTCCCTCCTGCCTTCTCAGGCTGAGGAAAGGGTCACAAGCAGCAGCAGGAGGCACTGGCTGCAGCTTTGAACATTTGCGGGGGGGGGATGCTAATCTAAAAGCAGTTTAGTTTAAAAGGACCAAGTTTTCTCCCAGATAAAGGAAGCCAAACGCAGCTTTCAGGGGATATTCAATGCCCCAAAAGAGGAAATGTTCTTTTTGGAGGGAGAAATTCTATCCTCCCTTAGGAGGGAGTAGGTTGACACAGCAGAATTGAGGGTCTCCTCAAGGCGTCTCGGCTCAGCTGCTGCATAATTTTACTTGTCATCAACGCGGAAGCAGCCAGAACATCCTCTGCCAAGCCCTGGGCTTCTTCCATATAATGCGGATAATGGCTAAGATCTGGAACCAGGAAATGGGCTCGGAAGAATGTCAACCACAGACCACATTTTCTGCTCGCCAGAAGGGGAAAAGGGATGCTTTAAGAAACCTGCAGTGGAGTGAGGTGGAATAAGAACACGGACGTCTCCAGGATGAGAAGAGGAGAAACCCCGCTCTCCCCAAGGGAATAAGCTTTGTCTCTAGCTGGCCTGCCACCTCCACAGCAGGGACACATGAGCAAAACGGATCTTGTGCATCGGTCTATTCGCGCTGACTGCTTTGTGCCGAAATGGAAGAAAGAAATGGATGGCTGAACAGAACAAACTAACGGGAGAAGGGAGCCTGGGGAAAACCATCACAAAGGATTCAGAAGGCAGGAAGACATGGGGGGACCTGGCCAGACGCACACCCACAGCAAGGAAGGGCTGATGTGTCAGGGGAAATGCTGCCCTCGAGCGGAGGCCAGATGTAAGAGCTCTGGGAATTTATTTACTCCGCATCCACAGGATCTACCAACATATGCTTTCAAAGACCTCCTGAAGCTCAGGCCCCACTTAAACTCTCTTTCTCTCTCACACACACACAATATAAAGCCCCCATCAAGGGCAGCACAAAACAATAGGACTGGAGGTGATCTCAAGCCCCTTCCACAACGGTTTCCAATAAATAAAAACAAACCCAGTTTCCACGTCCGTGCAGCCTCCTCCCTCTTGACATTTAAACAGCCCCATTCCACCAAGTTTTTAGCCTTACTGGATTGCGAGAGGCCTCCATTAACACCACAGATTTCAGATTACCTATTTCTGATTTATCTCCTCGTAGCCCTTTTAGCCAACATACATTCTATCTCTAGCATGGAAAGCAGCACAGCCAAAATCACAGCCATTTTAATTGGCCTGTTCCGGAGGAATTCCACTGAATTTTCCCCTGAATCCTTTTCTCAACAATATGGTGACAACATTATCTTCTTTCACATCACTCTTAATGTACATAAATGCACACATATCCACGACACAATTCCATTTCAGGGTAAGCAACATTATGCAGACTGCAGAAAGGGACTGAAGAAATATTAAGCCAAAGAAATTAAAGGCAAGAGATCAAAAAAAAGGACACAAGGCTGAAGGTAGCTTGCGCCAATACTGTTCGCTAGATCACTCCACACCTCTCTGTCCTCGCAAACCTGCCTTCCACCTGGCCCATAAACCCTGCATATATCATCTTGTTTTCCTTCTCCTTCTGATGACCACATCACCTTCATCCAATCACGACTTTCTCAGTCTTCTCCTTCCTCTCCACCCATTCACTCTTCTTCCATGGATCTGTTCTGCAATTTGATCTTCATTCTTTTTTTTTTTTTCTATATAACCAAACCACTTGAACGTACGTCTTTCAAACTATTTCTTCACTTGGGCATTCAATCTCCTTCATTCCTGACCATTTTAATATTTCCTCATTCCCACTATATTTAACTTACTTTTATGTTCCCAGCTCTCTATTCTGCATAACACAGGGAGCAGAAGCACCCTCTTATACAGCCATTTTTCTTCTTTTGACAAACATCAATGTTTCTCCATTTCCCCATCTTTTGTAAATATTCTAAGCTACACTCAACCATCAGCTTTATTCTTCACAATTTATGCAATTGTTTACTCTATTTTCCCTGTCAAATGCAACCATCTTGCTATTTTATACCTATACTTTCAGATCCATACTCATCATTACATCATACAATCAAACACTGCTGAAAATAATTAGGTTTCTCAGCCAACAACATGGTACCATCTGTATAGAAAACTCTATACACATCTGACTACTCCTCATCTAAACATGATTTTATTTGCCCCTAAAATTAAGGCTGTAAGCTAGTATATGGTTTTAGAGAGAAAAAACCCAAATCAGAGATCCAAGGGATTCACAACCAAACTGCTTCTGCTTTTTAAACTTCTCCAACAAGTAATGCTCTCTATGGCAGAGGGAAAGGCTGTGCAAATCCTTCAGAAGAGGTGCTTCATTATTTTCCCCAATTAAATCAAATAGCTGTGCATGTACATGCATGCAATAGCCACCAGGTGCAGGCCTACACACTTGGAGGAAGACGCACCTGCTTCACTGGTTTGAAGAGAGGCAGCTAACCTGCGCTTTTGTGACCTGCAAAGCACCTCTTTCCAAGAAGCCCTAGTAGGATCACTTTACCCTAATTTCTGCTGTCTTTGCATTCATGTCAACACATCTCCTATATTTTGAGTGCTACTGTAATAGAATATTATAAAGGTATGTTTAACCTTCATCCAGTGAGGTAGGAACAGGATATATATGATGGGTGGCTTTCGACCTGTCGTCCGTGACAGTACCCTAGGAAAAAGCACAGACAGGAATAGCATGAGAAACAGCAGAGGAACCAGTAATCTCTTGTTCCTAATTCATCACCTGGATTGTGGGAAATAGTGGCCAACTAGATGACTGGGTTGACCTGGGAATTACACTTCTCTTTAAGAGGCAGCTAAACACGTGAGGGAAACAGGTGGAGGGCAGCGTCAATGCAGTTTTAATACTAAAAAAAGTAAAATATATATTCAGTGACTTCCACGCAAACATGCCAATTCTGGCAGCTACTTATTTTCCTCATTTACCTTGCATTGCAACAATATTCTTTCTCTTACATGGATTTAACAGAGCTTTGCACAAAACTAAAGCAAGCACTTTTAAATATTCAGACTAGATCTAAGCCTCAGTTACCATAAAAAACCATTAAAAAAACAGAACCATCATGGATCAGTGTAACTACTGCATGGGCAAATTAAAATACAGTGGGGCAAAAAAGTATTTAGTTAGCCACCAATTGTGCAAGTTCTCCCACTTAAAAAGGTGAGAGAGGCCTGTAATTTTCATCAAAATAAATTCTTTAAAAATCAGACAATGTGATTTTCTGGATTTTTTCCCCCATTTTGTCTCTCATAGTTGAGGTATACCTATGATGAAAATTACAAAATAAATTCTTTAAAAATCAGACAATGTGATTTTCTGGATTTTTTCCCCCATTTTGTCTCTCATAGTTGAGGTATACCTATGATGAAAATTACAAAATAAATTCTTTAAAAATCAGACAATGTGATTTTCTGGATTTTTTCCCCCATTTTGTCTCTCATAGTTGAGGTATACCTATGATGAAAATTACAAAATAAATTCTTTAAAAATCAGACAATGTGATTTTCTGGATTTTTTCCCCCATTTTGTCTCTCATAGTTGAGGTATACCTATGATGAAAATTACAAAATAAATTCTTTAAAAATCAGACAATGTGATTTTCTGGATTTTTTCCCCCATTTTGTCTCTCATAGTTGAGGTATACCTATGATGAAAATTACAAAATAAATTCTTTAAAAATCAGACAATGTGATTTTCTGGATTTTTTCCCCCATTTTGTCTCTCATAGTTGAGGTATACCTATGATGAAAATTACAAAATAAATTCTTTAAAAATCAGACAATGTGATTTTCTGGATTTTTTCCCCCATTTTGTCTCTCATAGTTGAGGTATACCTATGATGAAAATTACAAAATAAATTCTTTAAAAATCAGACAATGTGATTTTCTGGATTTTTTCCCCCATTTTGTCTCTCATAGTTGAGGTATACCTATGATGAAAATTACAAAATAAATTCTTTAAAAATCAGACAATGTGATTTTCTGGATTTTTTCCCCCATTTTGTCTCTCATAGTTGAGGTATACCTATGATGAAAATTACAACACCTATGATGGAAATGACAGGCCTCTCTCATCTGTTTAAGTGGGAGAACTTGCACAATTGGTGGCTGACTAAATACTTTTTTGCCCCACTGTAACTATTCCTGATAGCCCCATGAGGGATAGGAAGAAGACTATGGGGGACAAAAAATAATTTGAGTGATTTCCTTTCATTTCTAAAATGGATCTGAATGACCAGGCAAACCCAAACTATGGAGGCCAGTGGCCCTGAAGAGAAGGGGACTGTTACTGATTGGCAAATTGTTGCCTTACTGAAAAGTGTGAAAGGGGTCAAAGAGATGAGTACAATAAAAGTTTGCCGTTTATGTTAACTAGGGTCAGTATCAGGGAGGGTGGGTTGGGAGCTTCTATTGAAATGTAGAATTCGAAAGCGCCAAAAGGCTCCAATAATAAGGTCCCACCACTGTTGCAGCATTTCTAGTCTAGGGGTCATACAGTGATTTATATCAGTTTTGCAACTCACTGTATTTACATGAAGGGTTCTACGATCCATAACCTTGTAGTCTTCAGGCTCTTCAGCAGAACCTGGCCAGGAGCCTGGTGATCACTGTGCTTGTTAATAAAAGCGCATGCCATTTATTTCCCAGTGGGCAAGACTTTTCCCCAACCTTTCTGCTTCTAGAAGGTGTAGTGACCTCCTGCCACAGGGACTGAATGTGCTGTTCTGACCCAGAGAGAACAGCAGCACTTGCCCCAGATCTATAAAGCACTGGGCAAACTGTCCTGAGAGAACTCCTCCAGCCACTGCCCATCCTTGCTACATTTGCATTCTTGTCCACTCAGGGCTGAGGATGCAGACCAGGGGCAGCCACTGAGTCCTCTTCCCTCTCTGCGTCATATAGCAAAGAAGCAAGGAAGAGGGCCTTGGAGACTGAAGTCTGTAGAGAGTGCTGAAAGGAACTGGGTATGTTTAGCCTAAAGAACAGAAGGCAGAGGGGAGACATGAGAGCAGCCTTCTAATTCCCAAAGGGTAGTCCCAGCGAAGAGAATGTGGGTTTATTCTCTGCGGTGCCCAAGGGTTGGCAAGAACCAATGGGTGGAAGTTTACAGAGGGAGATCCAAACTCAAAATAAGGAGGAATTTCCTGACTGTGAGAGCTGTGAAGCTGTGGAACAGCCTCCCTCCTAGAGTTATGGGGACTCCATCTCTGGAGGTTTTCAAGCCATTTGTCTGGGATGGTCTGAGGGTTCCTGCCCAGGGTAGGGGGTTGGACTGGGAAATCTCCAAGGTCCTTTCCAACCTTAGGATTCTAAGAGAGGCCCAAGAGCCATGAACTAGACACCTGGAGCAGCTAGACATGTGGACTGCAGGGCTGAGCAACTCACGGGTGGTTTTTAGAGCTCATTGTTTAAATTTCTGAATTTGTTAATTGCCTCAAGAGAAAAGCCTATGGCCTCTAAATTGGTGATTCAGCATTTTACGCCCATTACCTGATGACGTTTGACAATGTCCTTTAGCTTATTAGCTAATTTCAGCTCAATATCTGGAATGAGGTAGATGGTTGGTCTGCTCAGACAGTTATTCTGAAAGAGAATAATCAAGGAATTAAAAAGCCGCAAGGGAATTGATTCCACAGATTTAAAAATCAGTGGTGCAATCTGCTCGCTGGGAAAAACTTGGTCCATGCATATATTCTAAAGAATAGCTTCAACTGAACTTAGGGCTCAGTTAGCAATTCCAACTCCTACATAATAGTATCTTTACACAGAAGGATCACATTTTGCTAAGATAAGGGGGCTACTATTGACATCACAGAGGGCTCATGCTCCCCTTTGCTTCAATATCTCAAACTGAAACTAGTCTACTTTACAGGGTTGCTAAGAAAGCAAACAAGATGAAGGTTATGCAACATAGATGTACTTATTGAATATTCCTATGGATAAACTGAGAATTTTAGGTGCGTTCAAAAAATTGGGTTCGGCTTATCTGATGGGCTTATATTCAAGTACAGAAAGTAATTCTATAAATGTTAATCTTGTTTTACATTTTTAAATGATTGTTTGACCTCTAACTACAAACATTTACATGCTTCACCTAGACAACCCAACCTTCCCACATTCCTCATGCTAGCCTAACTTTTTTATGAGGGTTAAGGAAGGCAGGCTGTGAGCTTGGTTATTCTTGGGTTATTCTGGAAACAATCTGACTGTTATTTCCAATGAAGTGGACAGAAATCTCAGGAGAGCTAGCCCAGCCACTTGCATATTAGACCCATGTCCCTTCTGACTGGTTAAGGCTTACTGGAAGGTGACATGTGATTGAGTTCTGGTGGTGATCAATTCTTCCTTGAGAGAGGGGGCGGTCCCTGAAGGAGGTGGTGATATGCCTCCTCCTCAAGAAGCCACTGTGGACCCATCTATGCTGGACAATTTTTGTCCAGTCTCCAACCTTCCCTTTCTCTGAAAAGGGTTGACAAGAACCCTAACTCCAAAGAACTCTGGAAAAGGTGGATCATCTGAACCCCTTCTAATCAGGTTTCAGACCTGGGCAAGCAACCAAAATGGTACTGATCACACTTGTTAATGACCTCTGGCAGGAGCAGGACAGGGATGGTGCATCCATCTTTGCTCTCTTTGATCTCTCAGTAGCTTTCAATATTATCGATCATGGTATTCTTCTGGACTGGCTTCAGGAGTGGGAGACACTGTGTTGTGATGAGTCTCTCCCTTCCTTCAGGAATGGTTCCAGTCGGTGTTGAAGGGGTGGGGAGAGGTCTTGCCCAAGTCCCTTGATTTGCAGGGTGCCACAGGGTTTGACACTCTCCTCACTGTTTAATATCTATGGGAAGCTGCTGGGCAAGGTTATCTGACAGCAAGGGATGAGATACCATCAATATGCTGATGATACCCAGCTTTGTATCTGCACCCTTGGCTGTCCAAGCAATCCCATGGAGGTTCTGGGTCAGTGTCTGGAGGCTGTGGGGGGTTAGATGGAGAACAACAGGCTTCAACTAAACCCTAGCAATACTATGTGGCTTCGGGTTCTAGGGCCTGCCAGGTCCAGAGATTCTCCATCTCTACTTCTGGATGGGGTTGCACTGCTCCAAACAGAACTAGTGTGTAATTTGGGATCATCTTTGACTTGCAGCTCCTGTTCAAGGAATAGGTAGTGTCTGTGACCAGGAGAGCCTTTATAGAGCTTCTCATTGTGTGCCAGTTGTGTCCTTTCCAGGACTGGGAGGCCCTTCTCACAGTCATTCACATTTTAGTCACCTCCCAGATGGACTACTGTAGTGTGCTCTACATGGGGATGCTGTTGAAGAGCATCCAGAAATTGCAGTTGGTTCAAAATGCAGCAGTGCAATCAGTTATAGGTGCTTCTCAATCTGTGCATATTACACCTGTGTTCTGCGTGCTGCATTAGTTGCCAATATGCTTCTGGATTCAAGTCAAGGTGCTGGTGGTTACCTATAAAGTTCTCCATGGCATGGGTCCAGGTTATTTGTGGGACCACCTCTGCCCAATCATATTTACCTGTCCTAGCAGATCTGGCAGGAGAGGCATGCTCTGGGTCCCATCTACTATCATCTGACAGGGCCCAGGAAAAGAGCCTTTTCTGTCACAGTGCCTGTCCCATAGAACATCCTCCTCCTGGAGATCAGATTGGTCCCACCCTGTTGGCCCTTCACGAGGCCCAGAAGACATGGCTGTGTTCCGGGGCTTGGAGTCAGAATGTCTATTGGGGCCTGTGAATTAATGTTACTGAAATATTTGTATTGTGGAGTCCTTGGTGCTCTCTGAGCTTGATTATTTGCTTGCAGACATTTCATTACCCAACTAGGTAACACCACCAGTACTAGGATTCTCAGAAACAACCACAGACTATTACAACCACATGGCATCTCCGTAGCATGCAAACCAACGAAAGCCCTCCAAAACATCTTAA